CATGAGAACAAGTAGCATTATGAGAACAAGTAGCATTATGAGCACAAGTAGCATTATGAGAACAAGTAGCACCAAGAGAACAAGTAGCATCATGAGAACAAGTAGCATCATGAAAACAAGTAGCATCATGAGAACAAGTAGCATTATGAGAAGTAGCATTATGAGAAGAAGTAGCATCATACCATACCAATTTATTTATATAGCACTTAAAACAGCAACAAGGCCAACCAAAGTGCTGTACAAAAGAACACAAACATGCACAGCAGACAGGAAAACATAAAATAGAAATACAGATACAAATAGCAGCAGAAGCTAACTAAAATGGCCAACAGAGTAGAGAACAGACCGGGCCAAAACAAATCACACCGTGTTAAAGGCAAGCGAATAGAAGTGGGTCTTCAAGCGAGACTTAAAGACTGAGAGTGTGGGAGCCTGCCGGACACTCAGTGGCAACTCATTCCACAGTCGTGGACCTGCAACAGAGAAAGCCCTGTCACCCCTGAGCTTACGACGGGTTTCTGGGACTGAGAGAAGCATCTGGTCTGCTGACCTCAGAGAGCACGGTGGGACATATGGCTGCAGAAGATCAGTGAGATAGGATGGGGCGGAACTGTTCAGTGATTTAAAAACATACATGAGAATTTTGAAATGGATCCGAAGGTGAATGGGTAGCCAGTGCAGGGAGGCCAAAACAGGCGTGATGTGCTCTCTATAGCCTGTACCAGTTAAAAATCGGGCTGCAGCATTTTGGACCAGTTGTAGACGAGCAATGGAGGACTGACTGATTCCAAAAAGAAGTGAATTGCAGTAATCAAGCCTAGATGTTATGAAGGCGTGGATCACTGTCTCAAGGTTCTTTTTGGAGAGTATAGGCTTCAGCTTAGACAGCCGTCTCAGCTGAAAAAAAACAGGATTTTACCATCATGTTTACGTGACTGTTGAGTTTTAAGGACGGGTCCATTATCACCCCCAGATTAGTCACCTTTTGTTTCTCTAGCGGGGCAAGAGAGAAAAGGTCAATGTCATGGTTCATGAGTGAGCCACTGGGATGGAACAGCATGACTTCAGACTTCTTCTCATTGAAGCTTAAGAAGTTTAAAGCCATCCAGTCCCGGATGTCAGCCAGGCAGTCAAGAAGAGGCTGAATAGAGCGTGTGCCTCTATGCCTCAGGGGGAAGTAAATTTGGCAATCATCGGCGTAGAAATGAAAGGGTATGTCGTGTTTGCGGAAGATAGAACCTAGTGGCAGCAGGTATAAAGAAAAGAGAAGGGGACCGAGGATGGACCCCTGCGGTACCCCCCACTGGAGCGCTGTCGATGCCGAACTAGAATCTTTGATATTGACACAGAAGGTTCTGTCAGATAGGTAGGACCCAAACCATTTAAGGGCTGACCCTGTGATGCCCACCCACTGCTCCAGTCTAGAAATGAGGATCTTGTGGTCGATGGTGTCAAAAGCAGATGTAAGGTCCAATAGGACCAACAGCACAGAATCACCTGCGTCTGTGGAAATGAAAATGTCCTTAAAAACCTTCAGTAGAGCAGTTTCAGTGCTATGGCGAGATTTGAAGCCAGATTGGAATAACTCTAGGATAGCGTGATCCTCCAAAAACTGTTTCAACTGAGACTCCACAATTTTTTCCAGTAGTTTAGAGGTGAATGGGAGTCTGGAGACAGGCCGGAAGTTGGACATGACTGAGGGGTCAAGGTTAGGTTTTTTCAGGAGGGGCTGGACAGCAGCATGTTTAAAAGTCTTTGGCACCACACCTGAGGATAAACTGCTATTCAGAATAGCGAGGATAAAAGGACCCAGGGTAGGAAAAACTTCCTTTAGTAGTCGAGGGGGGACCACATCAAAGGGGGAACCAGATGGTTTCATGCTGCACATTACCTGCTCCAGAGAGGACAGAGAGATGGGCTCAAAGTGGTCAAACACAGCCACGCACTGAGATGGGATGGACAGATCATGAGCTGGTGGAGAAATGAGTGCCCGGGTGTTTGCCACTTTTTCTAAAAAGAAATGGAGGAAGTTTTCACACAGCTCAGTTGAGGCTTCCAGAGGTGAAGGCTCACTGAGGTGTAGAACTGAGTTCAGGGTGGAGAAGAGAACTCGGGGGTTGTGGGAGTTGGAGACAATTAAATCAGAGAAGAATTTACATTTGGCAGCTTTAACGGTTTTCTGATAGTGACGCCAACTCTCGCTTAACATTTGAAAAGACACCTGGAGCCTGTCCTTCCTCCATCTTCGTTCAGCTTTGCGACACTGCCGCCTAACGGCTCGCGTGACGTCATTCAGCCAAGGCTCTGATTTAAGTTTCGTTTTTCTGGTCTTAAGGGGAGCAACACGGTCCAGAACATTTAAACAGGCAGAGTTGAACTGAGAGGTTAGCTCCTCAGTGGTGAGACACCGGGAACTGTTCGATCCTCTCAGAATTAAAACCTTCATTAAAACAAGCAGCAGTGAAACGGTTAATGGAACGCGTATGTAGTGAACTAAGCCTCAGGTCAAGTCCTGGCCTTGAGGGCCTGCCTGGAACAAGAACTGTATTTCATTGATTTGGGTCCAGAAACACAAGATTAAGTCATCCAGAGACTTTCTAAGTGTCCTGCACTGATCAATTGAAAGAACACTCTTTTTCTATTATCATTACTATTTTACAAATGTTTGATAATCAAAGTGTGTTTAGTTCAAACCATTTTTAAATGTTGAAGTGAACTAATCATTTTTAATCAACTGTGAAACAGTATTAGTGATTTTTAATCCTCATGCAAAGTAGAAATCATGTTAAGGTCTGTTACAGAGTAATTATGCATTTTCTGATTTTCTGTCTTTGAATGAGCAAGTGTAAGTTGGTCCAAGGTTGGAGTCAAACGCAAAACAAGTTGTTGGAACGAACTGTCATGTTTTAAATCCTCTCAGACGTAAATATAGAGGCTGGCACCTGTTTTCCCCCAACTCGCCTAAATATTCCTCTCGTCTGTCTGAAAAACATTTTCAATCTGTTCCATAACATTCTTGCTGTTTTTCTGACTTCTAGTGACCTCTTACGTCACAAAAACACACCCCTGTTTGGTCGAAACGACCAATCAGGAACCTCCCAAGTGAACCGGAAATAGAACTCTTTAAATGTCGGCACTTCCTAGTTCAAACCAGTCGGGTGGAGAGTTTGCAGAGCTTGAGTCGCTTCAGGCTCCGGCTTCAGTCGTTTGCAGCTCCAGTGCTGGGAGAACAGAAGTCCAGGCATGATCCAGATCTCTTCCGAGTCTTGTGGGATTATGACATCTTCCACCTCTGAGTGGAACCTCTGACGGACTCCACTCATGTGAGTCCACCAAGAGGTGAACTTGTGTCGAACAAGTACCGTCACTACTTCGGACGATTCACAGCTGTTCCTACGGAGACGCTGAAAGGGTGCGTTAAATGGAACTTCGTACCAGTGGAGACATCTCCAGGTAAAGAGTGTATTTATACCACCTAAGTGTACCGGGGAAGAAGCTGGGAACTCACCGGAGAGTGCCGTTCTGATGCCGACACACACATTTCCCTCATCCCTCCTTTCTCTCAACTTAAACTCAATTTCCATCTTTAAAATTCTTCTATCTGCTAGAAATCATTCCAGATATTTCCAGAAATGTCTGTTGTGAAGCAAGGTTTTCAACCATCGCCGTATGGTTAATCAAATTGTACAGCTTGCTAACTAAGCCATGTTGTTATTTTCCAATTTTGCCAAATTAATGTAAATGTGTGATGTTAAATTTGATTCTGAAAATAAATGACCACGTTCATTTTGATGGGTCAAAGGAAATTAACGCCTCACGATACATTTTATTAAATTCAATGCACGACATTATTCAGTCCAGAAAAATGAAAGAATCCATTTAATTTATGAATATATCATAGCATATGTTCATCTACACGTACGTGCAGGAATGCGCGTCTTAGCAGTAGGACAAGGGGGGGTGAAGTCAAACAATACAGGCATGTGATCAGAAAAAACATTGTCACCGATTTTCAAATTAGAAACAGAGACATCGCGTGTTAAAACGAGGTCCAGCGTGTGACCATGTTCTTGGGTGGGGCCGCTCACCTGCTGAGCTAAGCCAAAAGAGTCCAATAAATCCAGAAAGTCCTTCACTAAGGGCTTCTCCTGACAACACACATGCAAATTAAAGTCACCAATAAACAAAAAGTGAGTGTATCTCTGTGTGATATCAGCCAAAAAGTCAGAGAATTCATTTATGAAGTCCTTAGAACGAGGTGGGCGGTAGATAAGCGCACACAGGACCGGAGGAGAGTGTCCAAGTTCAAAGGCGCTCAGTTCGAAGCTGGCGCGGGACACCGGGATGGACAACTGTTTACAGGCAAAGTTTGCTTTAAAAACTGTTAATAATCCCCCCCCCCCCCCCCCCCGCACCGACCTGATGGCTACGGGGCATTGAAACACAGACAGTCCAGTGGTAGTAATTCCACCAAGGCGCTGGACTCACCATCAGAAATCCAAGATTCCGTGACGAACAGAAAATCCAACTCCTCATCTTTAAAAAAGTCATTGAGGATAAACGTCTTGTTGGAAACAGACCTTGCGTTGATTAAACACAACCTGATATTGTCCAACACAGGCACAGCCGTGGATGGAGACGCGCGCGCCAGCGGGCGCAGGTTATGAAGAACAGCTCCTCCTGGTCTGCTGGTGCGGCGCACAGGTAAACAACTCCAGGTGTTTCCATGGACTGAGCGCGCGGGCAGCTGGCCAGCAGCCGGGCCCCGGGAGCACCACGGGTCAGAGAGGAGATGATCAGATCCAGAGCGAGTCCTGAAAGAATAATCCACTCTTTGCCTCAGTTTCACCAAAATCCCTGCACGCTTCCCACGACGTCTGCGACGTTTCCTCCATGGAGAAAGGCCAGGGTCACGCAGAAGGAATGCAGGAATCTCAGATAGGACCGGTGGGGGAGAGTGCTGGCCGCTGTTCAAAAACTCCGCAGGAATTTCAGCAAAAGTACGGAGCTCCAAAAGTGCCCGACGATCATACTGAAAATATGACTCGGCACACTGCACAAACCATTGTAAATATAACAAAAATACAATACAAGCAGAGAGTGAGAGACGGGCAGCCCTACACACCGGCGCCATCTTGGAAACCTGATATGATCATGAGAACAAGTAGCACCAAGAGAACAAGTAGCATCATGAGAAGTAGCATCATGAGAACAAGTAGCACCAAGAGAACAAGTAGCATCATGAGAACAAGTAACATTATGAGAACAAGTAGCATTATGAGAACAAGTAACATCATGAGAACAAGTAGCATCATGAGAACAAGTAGCACCATGAGAACAAGTAGCATCATGAGAACAAGTAGCAC